TTTTTATATATTCTAAGGTTTTACTACTAGAAAGTCTAATATACCTTCTTAACTATAAATTTACTAAAGTATATCTTAAATATAGTAAGAATTATAAGCGCATACTTACTAAAGAACTAGGTTAACTTAATTAGCTTATTATTATAGTAGTAGAGTTTAGCTATCTTCTAGATATTCTATTAGCAAAGCTAGAGAATAACTAGTATTTAGAGTAGTATACTATATAGAGCTCTTACTTTATATAGATAGCTTTAAAAAAAGTAGTAGTAAAGAGATAGCTATAAGAGTAGACTATATATAGCTTAGTGCTATTAGAAGTATTCTTTTTAAAGAGTATAAACTAATATTATTAGTAGAAGTAGTAGAATTTCTAAGATCTCTAGAAAAAATAAGCTATACGTATACTACCTATTTTCTTATAGAATAGATATTATAAAGTCTTTCTATTATAGTTATAAAATATAATTCTACGTAGTAGTATAGTTAGTAAAGTCTAAATATAGATACTAGAAAGACTAAGATTTTAGAATAGAGAGCTAAAGAAATATTAGAAAAAAGAAAAAGTAGAGCTAAGTATGCTAGAAGAATAGAATAGAAGAGAAGTAATAGTAGAAGAAAGAGAATAAAAAAATAAAGCTCTACTTATATAACTTTATTCTCTATACTATATTTTATCTAGTAGATATTAGTAGTTACTAAAAAAGAATAAAATTTTAAATTAGAGGTCTAGAAATATATATTCTTACTCTTTTCTTTAGATTATAGCTTAGTCTATTAATTCTTAAATAAGGTATAAAGAAATCTAACTTTAGCGTAGCTTTTTATTTTATACTACTCTCTCTTATACTAATATAGCTTATTACGCTTCTTTACTTTTTTATAAGAAGTTTATAGAATAATCTTAGAAGAGATAGAGAATAGAAATAAGATATTACTTTTATTACTATAGTTATCTATTAGATTAACAAAGTCTTTAGAAATAGAGTAGTTATATTTATTATTACTATTAATACGCTTAAGTGCTTCTTTATCTTCTTACGTAACCTTAATATTACTAGTCTTAATAGTATTTAAAACGCTCTTACTAGTTTTAAGCGTAGTATTATTATTTTTACTAAGATTATTTATAGTAGTATTAGTACTATTACTACTTAAGCTAAACGCGCTTAAAATCTTAATAGCTAGAGTAGTAGCTAGTTAGATAGTAAAATAGTTTATAATATAGCTATAGATCTTAGTAGAGGTTCTACTAAAAGTAAAGCTAAGTCTAGAAAGTAAAGTAGTTAGTATAAAGTAAGAAAGAGGCTAAAAAAGAAAAAGTAAAGCTTATAAAGTATAAAGTTTAAAGTAAAAAGTAAGTAAATAAGTAGTAAAATATAGTATATAAACTAAAAATTAGAAGCTAACTTTACGCTACTTAAAGTAGCTACTAAGAAAGTAAAAAAGAAAGCTTATAAATTTAAAAGTTATAGCTAAAAGTAGAAATATTATACTAAACTTTAAGATAAAGAATAAAAATATAATTAAAATTAATAAGCTTTAAAATAAAAGACTAAAGAAAAAGTAAAAGAGAACTTATAAATTATTACTAGCTTATTAACTACTAAATTATAGTAGTATAAGTAAAGAGGTAGAGAATTAAAAAGTAGACTTTAAAGTAGAAAGTTAGTATAGATATAGCTTATTTAGATAAAATCTTATAACTTATAAAGCTAGTATAGTTAATATAAAACTAGTTTTAAGCTATAAAAGTAAAGTAGTAGATATAAAAAAAATAAAATAAATAGTAGAGAGTCTTATTATACGCAAATTTAATTAACTTAGCTAAAGCTATAGTTATAAGTAGTAGTTATTATAATAGTTATAATTATCTAAAAAACTACTTTTTCTAAGTAAGTAGCCTAAGCTTTACTAGTACATAAATTAAGCTAATAAGCGATAATTAGTAAATACAAGAATTTTGCCGCGCGCAGTAAAACTTTACCCTTCATCTCTAAGCCGTCTCGTCTGACGCAGCTCCCACTAGGTGACTCGCAGCCACGCTACAGCACTTCCGAACTACAAGCATACTTCCAGCGCATCCGTCTCCCCCAGAAATATCTAGACACGCCCATACTATCAGACAAAACGCTAGCCACAACCAAACAGCACGGCCTCCCCTTCCTGCAAGCCCTAATCCGACACCACACCAGCCACATCCCCTTCGAGAACCTCGAGCTCCATTACTCCACCCACAAAACCATCACACTCAACCCACAAGCCCTATACACCAAGATAGTAACCCAGCGCCGCGGCGGCCGCTGCATGGAAAACAACACCTTCTTCGGCACCGTTCTGCGCTCTCTGGGCTACGCCGTGCGCAACTGTGGCGGCCGCGTGTCGCGCGCCATGAGCCCTTACCCCGAGGTGCGTCGGCAGCAAGCGTCCACATACGATGGCTGGAACCACATGTTGAATCTGGCAAGATTCGATGACGGGGGCTGGTACGTCGCAGATGTTGGCATGGGGGCCATGGGACCCAATCTGGTGTATCCGCTGCAAGATGGCTTCGAAACGACGAGTATAGCTCCAAGGCTTATTCGTGTCCAGCGACGTGCTATTGCGGAGTCGTATGGAAGGCACTCGAATGAGATGTGGTGTTATGACGTTTGCTATAATCCGGGGAGTGAGGAGGATGAGGGTGAGGGAGAGAGGAAATGGACGCCGGTGTATTGCTTTACGGAGACGGAGTTTTTGCCGCAGGATTACGAGATCATGTCGTGGTTTACGTCTACGAATCCGAGTTCTTTCTTTACGAGATATGTCACTAGTACGAAGATGCTCATGGACGATGCTGGAGAGAGGATCGTGGGTAGTGTGACGCTTTTTGAAGGCGGGGTTAAACAGAGTATTGGGCTTGACCGCGAGATTGTACGGGATTGTGCGACGGAGGAGGAGCGGATTGCTGCTTTGAAAGAGATCTTCGATATAGAGCTGACGGAAGAGCAGAGGAAGGGAATTCCGGTGGAACTGAGACTGGGTTAGATTAATCGGTGCAATAGCTCTTTTCCTTCTATTAGCCTCTCTAGATTCTCTGCTGTCTCTTCATACCAAGTCGTCAGAGTACCTTCTTCCACATAACCCATATGTGGCGTGAGTAACACCCTGCTCTTGCCTTTGACGTCCCAGTCTTCGCTACGCCATGGGCTGTCGGCAGGGAGAGGCTCGATGTCAAATACGTCGAGCGCGGCCCCACGAATGCGCCCATGTCGCAGCGTGTCCAGCAGCGCAGCTTCATCGACAAGCGGGCCTCGCGAAGTATTGATCAGGAGGCCGGTTGGTTTCATCGAGCCCAACTCCTGTGCGCCGATGATACCGCGTGAGCGTTCGCTGAGGACGTAGTGCAAGCTTACTACATCGGAGGATGTGAAGAGCTGTTCTTTGGTGACGACTTTGAATGTCTTCTCGTTCGCATCGGTCATGCCACCACCTGTCACAGGTAGGCCGCACTCTTCAGCCAGTTTGTCGGCCTTCTCTTGCGTCAAGTTCGCACTCCAGCACACGACTTTCATACCGAAAGCCAGAACGCCAACTCTTGCGACATGTGCGCCGATCCGTCCTAGGCCAACTAAGCCCAGTGTTTTGCCCTGTAGACCCATTGCGAGCTCAGTCTGCCATCCAGCCGGCACACCCTTGCCCTTAACCACAGCATCGTCCGCAGCTACGTTCCGCGCAAGCCCCAGTATAAGCGCCCAAGCATGCTGTGTCGTCGGATGCCCACCCCCCTGTTTGACCGGCAGCGACCGCGGAGACGTGCCACTACCCTTCCCATCTGTCCTGCCCTTGCCAGGCGCCGCGCACACCGCAATACCCATATCCTTCATTGTATCCAGATCCCAACTCTGAAAGTTGCCACCCGTCGCAAATATAACCTTGAGATTTGGCAGTTGGCGCAGTAATTCGCCGGGGAAAGGAGTGCGCTCGCGCATAGTGGAAAGAGCGGAGAAGGGTTTAAGGCGGTCGACGAGGGCTTTGCGGTCGGCATCGGATGTTTTCGGGTGCGCGTACGACGGTAGGGTGTCGGTGAATACGGTTGTCTCGACTTTCGAAGGGTCGATGTGGGCGAAGTGATGGGCTGCTATGTTATGGTAGTCGTCGAGGACGGCGAGCTTGATGGGGAGGGAAGCCATGGTGCGTCTAGACAAGTGTGAAGAAGATGGGTTCAAGAATTGAAGATGGCGGGGTGGAGAGAGACGTTGGAGGAGCATGGCGCTGTGGTTATATCATGCATTACCTCGTACCGCAGGTAGCTATCTCGGCACTTGGATCGGAATGAACTGAGGGGTTCATTGGTACCTGACTGGAGTGATACTGTTTGATGAGATCCATCGGAAAAGTTTGCGTGAAGCCGCTGGTTTGTCAGCTATATCAGATAGTGATTGTTTCCATTGCGCGACTGATAGACGCGGCTCCATTGTGATGCTTGGAAGTCGGAAATGGTGGTTGATGTTCGGATAACGATGCGTGACCTCGGAACGTGCCGTGCTAGCTTACTAATCCGAGCTGCTCGGCTTCGGCGCGCGGCTTCCTTGTCACTACATCCTGCACCACCTCTTCAACGCGCAGAACCTTCGAATCACGTCGTGGAACACAACACTGGACAGAGACTATGCGTGATGATCATCAGCTGCTACTGTGAAGCACGCCACCGTTGCTGTGACGAGCTTGCACTTTACGCGACATTGACATCCCACCAGTATATGAAGTATGCGCTTGACATGGGCCGTCAATGGCATTGCCATCATTTGCGATATCGCTGTCGGACTTCACAGCGGCGTTCGCGGGCTCGAGTGATGTCTATTAACTCCATTCCAGGGGGGGCGGGCGCTTCAAGATAAGTGTTTAACGACAGAGCTTACATTTGTCAATGAAAATGCATCACCATTATAGTTGGAGCACTGATTTCGCACTTGTTTTCTTCTTTTCCTTCTCTCTGCATAACACCGCAGCGCGGCTCCAACATGAAACTCTCTGTAAGCATACTGACCTTGTCGCTGAGCACCCATGCTCTGGCTTTCGATTTCGCTCTAGCAGCTCCTATCAGACACAGCGAGCGTGCGACACATACGATAACAAAGACCATATATCACACGGAAGTGCGTAGACTATCCACAAGCTTCAAGGACCACAATGTTAGGAGCGAAAGCTTGGTGTCTGACTCCTCTGCATCTATCTCTGATGAGGTCTTCGAGGCTATGAACGGGGACACCGCGTCATCGATGGCAACAACATTTCTCTGGCCGAGGGGGCTAGGAGGGCAGAAGCCCACAGTCTCGCAACTACCCGTTACTGGCGTACCTGTGAGTTTCAACGCGAGGCAAGTCGGATTCGTACATTTCGACGATGATACCAAACGCGACGAGACCCTTCATCCCAGGCCAAACATCGTAAATAGAAGAAACACAGACCTCTACCACATCAAGATTGACCTCGCATCTGAAGGCTACATTTCAGTCTTTATGTCCAATAGCACAGCCTCTGCGTTCTGCAAAAGCGAGGTAGAGCTAGACTCAGAGGGTGGGCCAAAAGGAGAACTACAGCTAGCTGTTCGGAATTCCACAAAGATCGTGGCTATACCTGTTCATCAAGAAGCAGCTGATAGCTTCTGTCACCACTTCAAGAACGCGGAGGGGATTGACAGTCCAATGAGTGGCAAAGCTCCCGGAAGCTCAACAGCAACATCTTCGGTATCAGAAGGCAAGACGTCGAACGTTACCCCCAGCGAGACAACGTCGGCGAGTGTGTCGAAGTCATCCAAGCATGCGTCTACGGTAGTCACCGCTTCGGAGACTAACACTAATGACTCCGCATCAGCAACATCCGCGACCTCGACCGACAAGACCACATCTTTTAACACATTCGATATTACCCATGAGATCGAGACTTCGAAGTCCACAAAATATGTGCCCACGGAGGAATCAGCCTCCGAATCGGGATCTGCTACCACTAATGAAGGTGCAGGTATGACAATGTCTAAGACCTCCAAAGCGGACGACAGCAGCAGTGGATCTGAGGCAACAAAGTCTTCAAAGCACAAGTCCACGTCTGTAACGGCTTCGGAAAGTGACTTGGCTACTTCGGAATCGGCAACCGACGTGTCCAGCAAGCACAAGACCAAATCTACAGCGAGCGGAGCCGACGAAGATTCGTCAAAGACGGTCGAAGCTTCAGGTACACCAACGGTATCAAAAGCTGCATACGCCGAACCCTCTGAACCCGAAAAAAGCGCCTCACCTTCGACTAAGGCAGAGTCAAAGATTCCTGAGGCTACTGAGACTGAGGAAATGCCCAAGTCTGCAACATCGGTCCAGGAGTATGGAGGTCCAGCTATAGACCCTGCAAACCCTGCTGACCTAGACACATCCACGACGCCCAAGGCCACACCAGCCGCTGTTCCTGTTAGCACAACTACAGACGAGCTGTTCACTGAAGCAAGCATAAACTCGTTTTACTCGTACATAAAGAGCTTTGTAGAGACAGCTCCAGACCCACCATCAACCGCGCACATTGCTGATCAGACTTCGATCATGACGACCGACTCTGTGAACGGGGCGGCACGACGCGGAATACTAATAGCGCCAACGCCGGCTCTAATAGCTGTCAGAGATGGATCTCATTCCCACTCGACGGGTAACAGTATGACATATACTTCCGACTATAGCTGGAAGGGTGCCGTCTCTACAGCTATAGCTTCCACCACGGCGTCGAGCAACGCAGCGATCGGTAGACTGAAACCACCTTCTTTACTCTGGCGTATCTGGTACCCCGCGACTACCACCAAAGTCATCCGCTCCAGAAGCTTCAGTGGGCCTGGTGAAGAGCCTGAGCAGGAAGACGAGGGGTTTTTCAAGATCGATGTGGAAGATGATGGGCCTACCAGGGTTAGTTCTGGTACTGATGCAGTGGAAGAGGAGACGGCTGTTGCGACGAAGTTTGCGCATAAGCAGGAGGATAAAGATGGGGATGATGAAGGTATTGATGTGAAGGATGGGGGCGAGGAAGAGGAAGAAGAGCTACCGGCTGATGAGGAGACGGTACCGGATGAAGAAGCTGAGACTGATGAAGGAGCGGCTGGAGATGACGATCCGCTTACGTCTACGAAGAGCAAGGCGTCACATACCAAGACTGTGGTAGATGAGGAAGATGACAGCGCGCCGACCACCGATACGTCTACGGATGTTGAGGAGAAGGTCACGTCCACCAAGAAGAAACCTGCAGATGAGGATGATGACGCCGAGCCAACTCAAACTGCAGCCGATGACGACGAAGAGAAGGCGACATCCACCAAGACAAAACCGGTAGAAGATGACGACGAAGCTACAGCAACTGTCGCTTCATCCAAAGATGTCAAGGAAAAGACATCGTCTTCAAAGACAAAACATGCAGAGGATGAGGAGGAAGCTGCACCTACCTCCAAAGCAACCAATGACAGTCCACCCGAGGACGGCGACGCACCACTCAATGAAGACGATGAAGAGGCCGAAACCGACACATCCGCTAACGACATCTCCACAAGCACTTCCCACAAACCCAAATCCACCAGACCCGCAACTTCCAACGCAGATGACGACGCGGACGAGGAATCTGCCACGACTTCCAAATCTAAATTTATATCCGCAACTTCCAACTCCAATGACGACGCCGACGAGGAATCTGCCACGACTTCAACCTCTAAGTCCAAATCCACTCACAAATCCAAAACAACAATCCCCTCCCTCGCCTCAGGCGTCTCCTTCGCCTTCCCCTCCACCACCCCAATAAACCCCACTCCCGTCCTTAACCCAAACGCCACACCACTCCCCACACCACTTCCCACACCCCCTCCTACCCCAACGGGAGTAGCGCCCATGCCAACACAGCCCATAATCTGGGACCCAGACTGTCCCCAGATATCCACATCCACTCTGACCGCACCCAACGGCGTTACTACAACCCTTCCAATGGCCGTGGGACTGGGGTGTTGGCGCACGCTGGCTGGAAACGGTGGTGGATGGAACGGAGGGAACGGAGGGAACGAGACGAGTGGAGCCAACGGACATATGATCAAGAGTAAAGCGTGGAACATCCTGAGTGATGAGCAGAATGTGAAGTTGGGGGTGGTGTGTTGGATGATCATCGGATTCATTTTCTTCCAGTAAGTCGCCCCCTATCCCCTGTACTCATTCTTCATTCCACTTCTTCATCCTTATATGTAGTACTGACCTATTCTATCGCTGCCTAGGTGGTTCATAGGCCAACTACAATTCCTCAACGGTGAATGGCATCTCGGCCGGAAATTCGTGTGGTACATCCTCGGTATCGAGCTGCTGGGTATAGGAAGGAGGTTAGTAGAACGAGCTGAGGAGGCGCAGAGGAAGTGGGAGAAAGCAGAGAGGGAGAGGGAGAGAGTTGAGAGACTTGCGAGATTGGGGGGCTAGTCAGTCGTCGCGATACCCATGGGAGTGTTTCAGTGCGGTAATGTAATGCGAGTTGGCTTGTTTTATATACGTCTATAAGTGTTCTCGTTCTATATCTAGGTATCATATGCAAACACTCCTCCACGGCCCTAACGTCCCTCCTCTCACCCTTCCTTTGCCCCCAGTCAGCCCCAAATCCAACTCCGATACCAAGCTGGAGTCAACTCGATCATAAGGCCATTATACCAAGCTAACGGTCCTATGATCGAGTTCACTCCAGCTACGCAGCAGTGTTAGAAGAGACGCCAACTGTTACTCCTCTCGTTTGCTTCCTACCCCGACGGAATCTTCTCTTCTCTTCACCCCAATCTCCCACCCAGCCCGAGCATATCCGCCAATTCCCCCCATACCCCCTCAGAAGTAGCGAAAGTTTCTTGAGAGAACGATCTTTCTCAGAAGAAACAAAAGCTACTTCCGAGAACGTATGGAACAAACGAGTGTATATACTCAAGCTGAGCAGGAGCGTTCGGGTTGAGACTGACGACGACCCTCCTCCTTGTTTCATTTACAATCTTGAGCTTCAAGCATCCGGCAATAGGGGTGATCCGGTTGGGTGGAGAAGGTTCCATCTCTCTCCCGGTCTCCTCGCAATCGTCTTAGGTACCAACCTGGAGGTTTGAATGACATGTACGCGATATGGTGGTGGAATCTCCTATGTAAGACAAGGCGAGTTTCCTTTAGGATGATCTGAGGTCACTCGTCTTGTCCCACATAGGAGGTGCTACCACCATATTGCATACACCCCATCCAAACACCCGAGCGGCCATTGATGCAGGGTGTTGACTGCTTCTCTCGCTCCTCTCGCTTCTCTTATACCGCGTACCACGCACCATTCAACCAACGTCTTCCAAGCTCTTCAAGTAAGCAAAATCCTCGCATCCTCATGCATAATCATAACCTCCTCATTTTCAAAACTATACTTGCGCCTCACAATCTCAAACACAATGAGTCCCGCCGCCGTACTGGGAACCTGCTTAATCGTGTTCATGAAGAAGTCTCTGTAAAGATACTTCCTCCACCCGCCAGCCCTTTTCGCTAAAACCTTGCACTGAGCAAACGTTTCTTCGTAGGCGTGGTAGTAGCGTCGAACAATATGACTAGGCTTGTTGTCTTGGTGGGCCTGGAAGTCCAGGGCTTCGAGACGGCGGTAATGAACGTCTTGGATTTCGGTCAAGGGGTGCTGGATGAGTTGGGAGGTGATGGATGCGGAGACGCCGGCGAGGAGGAGGAACATGGGCTCGAGCATGTAGTGGGGGCGGATGACGGGGCGGTCGTCGTGGTCTTCTTGGAGGTAGGGGATTGAAGTCTCGAGGAGGGTGTCGCGCGTTCGACTTCCGTAGTAGCGGCTCACGAACTCGAGGTAAGCTTGGCTCTTCACTGTTTCGAAGGTGCCGAAGAAGACTGCGGCGCCGAATGCGTCTTTCATGAAAGAAAGAGACCAGCCGGCGAAGATGCCTTGGACGCCGATGGAGCGTAGTTTGTGTCCGGCGTAGTGCCACATTGTCTTGTGCCGGCCTTCGAGGATGTCGGCGGTGCGGAAACGGGTTTGCAGGGCGTCGAAAGGGGCTGCGATAACGGACTGGCATGAGCCACCGATGAAGCCTGCGGTGAAGGTAATGGAAGGGGGAGGGGGCGGGTAGACGCGTTTGGTCTGGTAGGAGGAGGGTTCGTGGAGGGCGGAGAGGGAGTGCAGGTAGGCTGTATAGAGGACGGCGCCGATACTATCACACTATTAGTATGAGCATGCTTGTGGGAGACACATCCCTTACCAAGTATTTGCCATCAGCGGTGGCAGCACTTGCTTCGGTATGAATCCCCATCCCTCAGTCCGTATAGCATGTGCCAATACGGCCGGCGTAGTCATCCTCCACGACCACTTCGCATCCGCCATGACATGTGGGTTTATCGCCCTCGCATAGCTCATGTAATCTATTCTCCCCCTGAAGAAAGCTTTGACTGGTGCTCGGAAGTAGAAGGCGACCATCCTCGCTGCCACGGCGCGCATACCAGCGGCCTGCACACCCGTCGCTGGTGCCTTGTTGGGGGCCTGCGGGGCGTCGGGCGTAGTCGTCGTGGTGTCATTGGCGGCATCGCTTCGGAGAGAGACTCCAGCGCGAGGACTGGAGCCGGTCGTCATCGCATAGTGTTGGTGGTTGGGGAGGTTTGCAGACGCATGGGTGGGGTGGTGAGGGTTTTGAGGTGGATGAGACAGCCGCGTGGGATGGTCACAAGATGGGAGTGGCTTTGGCGTGATCAGAATGTTGGAGTCTACAACAACAAAAGGTGATCAAAGTATTTACAAGAAGAAAACGTGACGTTGAAAAGTGTTGCCTAGGAAGATGTGGGGTTTATCAATGCCAGCTGTAGGGAACTTTGCTAGGTGAAGTTGGCGCTAGTATCGTTGTGGAGTTGAGAGGCGCACGGGCCCCCAGCGCGTACCTCGCGTCGCATCATCCTTTCGCGACTTTCTCATCGCTGCCTTCTCTCTTCCACCTTCTCCCTCGCAGCTACGCCAAACCGCCTGGAGGATATCTTCAGCGCATCCTCAGCCATGGCGGAGAACGACATTGTCATCGACAAAGCGCTATTCCACGAGCGCCTCAACGCCCTCGTCACCAAATGGAAGGCCGACAAGCGCTCTGGCGACGCTGTTTTCCAGGGCGCAAGCTCTATCGCGACGCTCGTGGGCAAGGCGAGTGAGCCAGGCATCTATTTGAAGCCCGCAGCCTTCCAGGTAAGATTGCGCATTTCGACATGTGATGAACGGACAGTGAGCTGATGAGACCCCAGCTATGGCTGCTAGGCTACGAGTTTCCCGCGACGCTCTTCATCCTGACCCCGGACCTCCTCCAGATTGTCACCACCAAGAAGAAGGGTGAGTCTGCGGCCACGACTTGAGTTTGGGCACATTCACTAATGAGAATAGCTTCCTACCTTGAGCCACTCAAAGGTGGCAAGGTGCCGGTGGAGATTCTCGTCCGCGGCAAGGACACCGAGGAGAACAAGAAGCAGTTCCAGACATGTCTCGAGACGATGAAAAAGGCGGGCAAGAAGGTGGCGGTGCTGAAGAAGGACAACGCCAACAACGCCTTTGCGAACGAGTGGAAGGCTGCCTTTGACGAGGCTGGCTTCAAGGAGGAGGACCAGGTCGATCTGGCCTCCATCATGTCCAACGCCGCCTTGTCCGTCAAGGACGAGAAGGAGCTGGTAAGCCTGAACGCACATCTCCGCACTGGCACTACTGACCTTACTACCTTTTAGCGAACCATCCGCGACGCCGCCCGCGCCTCGAGCGCCCTCATGTCCAACTACTTCGTCGAAGAAATGTCCGACATCCTCGATTCCGAGAAGAAGATCTCCCACCGCGCCCTCGCCGACAAGGTCTCCAACAAGATCGACGACGCCAAGTTCTTTGAGAAGCAGAAGCTGTCCAAGACATTCGACTCGATGCAGCTGGACTGGTGCCTGCAGCCTACCATCCAGAGTGGCGGCTCATACGACCTCAAGTTCGCGGCCGAACCCGACGAGAACAACCTGCACGCGGGCGTCATCATTTCCGTCCTCGGTTTGCGCTACCAGACATACGGCGCCATGATCGGTCGCACATTCATGGTCGGTCCCAACAAGGAGCAGGAGACTGCCTACAAGCTGCTTCTGGCGATTCACGACCTGGTCATCAAGTCGATCAAGGACGGCGTCGTTGCCAAGGACGTCTACAACAAGGCACTCGCACATCTCAAATCGAAGAAGCCAGAGTGGGAGAAGCACTTCCCCAAGAACCTCGGTTACGGTATCGGTACCGAGAACAAGGACTCTTCGCTGCTCCTGAGCGGCAAGAACACCCGTGTCCTGAAAGACGGCATGACCTTGGTGGTTCAGACTGGTTTGTCAGACCTCGAAAACAGCAAGCCACAAGACAAGAAGAGCAAGAACTATTCGCTCGTCTTAGTAGACACCGTCCGTGTCAGCGCCGGCGACTGCGCAGTCTTCACCAAGGACACCACTTCAGATCTGGACGCTGTCTCGTTCTTCTTCGACGACGAAGAGGAGGAGGCTAAGCCCAAGGTCAAGAAGGAGCGCCCAGCTATCGCCCAGACGAACATCACCAAGACCCGCACACGCCACGAGCGAACAACAAACCAAGATGCCGAGAAGGAGGAGCAACGGCGACAGCATCAAAGAGAGCTGCACGCCAAGAAGCAGGAGCAGGGTCTTGCCGAGTACAGCGAAGGCGCGAAGTCCCTAAACGGCACAGAAGAGAAGAAGTTTAAGAAATTCGAATCTTACAAGCGCGACAACCAGTTCCCCAGCTCCGTCGCCAATTTGGAGATCGTAGTCGACAAGAAGAACCTCACTGTTCTCCTGCCGATCATGGGCCGACCCGTACCCTTCCACATCCACACCATCAAGAACGCATCGCACACCCCCGAGGCGGACTTCACATCTCTCCGCATCAACTTCCTCTCACCAGGTCAAGGTGTTGGTCGAAAGGACGATCAGCCATTCGAAGACCCCAACGCACACTTCATTCGTAGTTTGACCTTCAAGTCGCACGATGTCGACCGCATCGACCAGATCACCAAGGACATCACAGAGCTGAAGAAGGACGTCGTGCGAAGGGAGACTGAGAAGAAGCAGATGGAAGACGTCGTTGAGCAAGACAAGCTCATCCCCCTCAAGACCCGCAAGCCGCACATGCTCGACCTCATCTTCATCCGCCCCGCGCTCGACGGTAAGCGCATCCCCGGAAGTGTCGAGATCCACCAAAACGGTCTGCGCTACGTCCACGGCAACGGCACAGCCAAGATCGACGTCCTCTTCAGCAACATGAAGCACCTCTTCTTCCAACCCTCACAACACGAGCTCATCGTCATCATCCACGTCCACCTCAAGAACCCAATAATGTTGGGCAAAAAGAAGACCAAGGATGTCCAATTCGTCCGCGAAGCCACAGAGATGCA